TGAGCATATTTCCATTGCGCTGCAGCGGCGCACGCAGCGTGCGCGGCGTAATATGAAGGAACCCTATGACTGATCGTGAGAAGCTTTGAATCCCGCGCCATATGAAGCAGAAAACCGCAAGCATTGTTATCTCGCTAAAACGGGATATATTTTTTCTTATCACCTTCTTTTATTTCATTTTTTTGTTAAGTTTGACGGTTTCTGCTGAAGTATTGGTCGAAATATTCATAGCTTCAAGGTTAAGTGCATTTTCATGAGAATATGATCTTCTATTCATGTTTCATTTGTCTTTTGATAATACAACTCAGCTTCTATACAACCTTGTGTTTAAAAATTCGGAATGCTTCGAAAAGATCAAAAAACACCAAACATGTGCCTGGTATGGTCCATCCAGCAATCCCGTCTCTTGACAAAAACCTCTGTTTTTGATAGAAACCGTGGCTTTTTGTGCAACAATAAGATTTTTCATCAATTTTTTTGAACATCGTAGTTAAATTTGAACTTTACTTGGCATGATGGTTATCGAGAGCAACCTGCACAATGAAATACCCTTTTGAACCCAGAGTTACATTTTGCGATGGTAGAGAACATATCTGTGTGTTACTTTCCTACCGTTTGCTAATCTAATTGGAATAACCTGGTATTTCGTATCTATGGGCCAATTTTTAACAATTTTGTGCGATGACGAATTTGCATAGGTTCTTCCGTCCCAAACTTTTGTATTTCGCGAATCAAATTAGCAGTCACATGCTCGCAAAACACTCGTTTCTTCCTCTTTTCGGTGATGGAGAGTTTATCATTTCATATAAGAATTTTTCCAGTTGCATTTCGCAATGTCATTATTCTGAACTAACCTATCACAAATACCATGATTTCTAGACCTGTCTGGAAAATTCTGGTGATGAACAAGCTTAGCCAAGACGTAATCTCACCTTTGTTACCCGTCAAAGTGTTGCGAGAACTAGGGGTCACTCTACATCTGTAAATTCTTCCTTTTGCTAACAAAGCAGTGTCTCTCTTAAAAAAATCTTTTGAGGCTGGTCGGCTCAAAACGTGAAGTTCTAACCGATGTGCTAGCGGTCTACTTCGTCTCGCCTACTGATGAAACGTTGACTTGCTTTGGAAAGATCTCAGGAGAGGCATGTACGACAGCTTCCACATCAATATGATCTCTCCGCTTTCTTGTGCTCGTCTAGAAAACTTAGCCTTTGCTGCTGTTCAAGGAGGCATTATTGCACAAGTACAAAAGGCATTATTTAGTTTTTGCAACAGATTTGCTTTTTTTTTATCAAGCTAAGTCTAAAAAACGATTCGTTTGTCGTGCGACAGTACTCCGAGAAAGTCCAATGTCCTACTATGGTAAGCGATTATTGTCATTGTTGAAGAGTTCTTGGATCTTGATTATTCAAAAGAGCAGTTTTTAAATTCTGTTGAAGTAACAAGGAAAGCGTGTTTAGTCGAAGTGGACTATCTAAATGAGATCTAAATCACTTTGTAGAGCATAGAACGCTAAATCCAAATCTGTCTTCCTTATCCGGCAAACGCTTTCGGACCGATTATGAACATTTCTTAGGTTGAAAAATCGGAAGAGCAATTAAAATTAAATCTTCCAGAACTGCTCAAATGGTCAAGTGTTGATTATTAGAGCACTTCAGTCAGTGGATAGCTTCTTCCAATACCGTCATAGTCAACATTGCTTT